CTACTACTACTACTACTACTACTACTACCAGTACCACTACTACTACTGTGCCTGATACTACGACGACTACTACTAGCACCCGCACTGCTACGGCTACTACTACTACTACGACGGCTACCACTACTACTACTACTACTACTACTACTACTTACTCACTTTTCTGTTTGTGTTTTGTTTTGACTTTCCACTAACTAACTACGACTACGACTACACTACTACGTACTACTACGACTAATACCTACTACTAAGCTGTTTTGCCTTACTATTACTAATACATATTGAACTACTACTACGACATTAACTACTCCAATGAAGTACATGTTTGGACATCGAAACTAACTTACTACTACTAATACTACTTTACTACTACTACTACCATAACACTACTACCAAGACTACCACTTACTACCACTACTACCCACTGACTACACTACTCCCACTAATACTGAACGAACTCCACTACTACTACTTACTCACTACTACGACTACACTACTACGTAATTGCCTTACTACTACTTAAGACGCCTACTACTACGACTACTACTAATGACTACTACTTACTATACTACTACTACTACTATACTACTATTACTACTTTTACTACTACTACTACTACACTTTACTACTACTACTAACTACTCAATACGACTACTACCTAATTGCAAAAACTACTTTACTACTACTACTATACTACTACTACTACTTACGACATTACGACTACTACGACTACTTACGACTACGACTACGATACTACTACTACCTCACTACTACTACGACTACTACTACTACGTAACTAATACTACTGCTACTACTACTACTACTACGACTACGACTACGACTACGACTACGACTACTACTACTACTACTACTACTACTACTACTACTACTACTACTACTACTACTACTACTACTACTACTACTACTACTACTACTACTACTACTACTACTACTACTACTACTACTACTACTACTACTACTACTACTACTACTACTACTACTACTACTACGACTACGACTACTACTACTACTACTACTACTACTAAGACGACTACGTTTCGCCCTCCCTCCTCGCCTCATCCTCTCCATCCTCCCTTATCCTCATCCCTCCTGATCCTCGCCCCTCGTTCCGACCTGTACCATCATGAAGGACACCGTCTTCAGAGCGTGGCTCAGCAGAAGCGCCTGTATGATGCTCACCGACGCCAGGGCGGGGCTGGCGCCTGCGTCTGCCGACGGGAGAAGGAGAGCAGCGGGGCCAACAAGGGGGAGGAGCGATGGAGGGAGGGAGGGAGGAAGGAAGGAAAAGGAGGGGGAAGAGGGTAGCACGAGGAGGGGGAGGAGGCGGAGGAGGAGGAGGAGAATGAAAAGGCGGGCAACAGGAAGGCCCCCATCACCGATCCCCTCCCTCTCCCTCCTTCCCTTGCACCCCCTGCCTCCCTCATTCCTGCCCTCCCCTCCATGCACCCCCTGCCCTGGCCCTCCCTCCATCCGTCCTGCAACCCCTGCGTGCAGCGACAATACCCTTTTCAGGCTGATGGCGATCGCACATTCTCCAGGCATGCAGGAGAAGGCTCGGTCTGTGGAACTTCTACTGTCGAAACGTCCTATCTACACGTGCCTCCGACGTCCAGATCTGTTCACCCTGCGGGACCTAGAGCCCTCGACCCCTTCCCCAGGACCCAGGCTTTCGCCCTGGATCATGTTTTCGACAACCTTGATAGCCCCAGGAGAGGCCCAGAAGCCTCCGCCTTGATTTGTCAGAAGTCGCTGGCGGTCTGGATCGGGGCTGGAGAGCGCCAATTATACGCCGACGCCGATACTGGCCAAGCTTTTCTCGGGCCAGGCCAGGAAGGCGTAGACACCGATCCTGGGCCCGGTGTGGGCCCGGCCGGCATCGATGTAGGTACATACGGTGAGGGCGTCGGATGAGGAACCATTAGATTTATGTCGGGCGTGTCCCCCTACAGGGGGATTTTCGACGAAAAATAAAAGATACCCCAAAAATGCCCCAAAAAGGTAAAACAATACTCCAAAAATAGTCCCCACACTACTTTTGGACTATTGTTTGGCTATTTTGGGGGTATTTGTTACTTTTCGTCGCAAATCCCCCTGTAGGGGGACAGGCCCGACTTAACATTAGATCAGGAATCTGGGCTCCCCGAGCTAGTGCAACGCCAACTGAGGCTTGGCCCTGGAGATGACCGCCGCCCTCCTCGGATACGTGAGCATCCAGGGTCTGAGGCCTCCCTCGCACACGGATTCTCACGAACGCCCCCACCGTGGTTGGAGCCCTCCGCCTGGAAGTAAAAAAAGGGCCCCCGGACCCGTCCTGGGGCGCGCCCTTGCAGCAACCTCGAGGCCGATTCAATGCGGTGGGCGACGAGGGCTCCTCAGAAGATCCCCCAAAACAAAAGCCAAAGCTGCGAGGCCGGGATGTGTCCACATCCGCCGCCTGGGGCACCGATTTCCCGTGACCCCCGGGCGCGGTGGATGACGATAAAGTTGGGCCAGCCCTGGGGCCCAAACATGTCCAACGTGACCACACCGCCTCCCAAGGCTCTGGAAGATCGGTCTCCAAGGCGGTGTGTGGATGGACCGCAGACTCGGAAGAGCGTCCAACGAGCTCGGTCACCTGATCTCGATCCTCGAGCCATCGTGGCTTTCCAGACGCTGGAGCGTTGCCCTGACTTCCGACGGATTGACCCTTTCAGCACGCATGCCCGAGCCCTTCCTTGGGGGCAACTTGTGGCCCTGGGTCCACGCTGGATGGCCGGGGAGCCCCTAAACCCTTCCTTGGAAGCCGAGGGATCGTTTGAAAAAGCGCGGCACTTAAGCGATCAATCCGCCCGAAGTCCCATGGGACGCACAGAGACACACTAATACGATATGCCCTCCTCGGAGGCGCGCGCCCGACCCAAACATCTAGTATACACATCTTGTAGTACATCGTTTTCCGAGCGGTGTGGCCAGAAAGCGCCCACCACGACGCATAGACCAAAGAGTTCTCGGTGCGCGTCGCCCCTGGGGGTCGACGCACACAAAGCATTAGTATGTTAGGGTGACGCCGAAGTCCCAGGTAGATCCTCGAACGCCGTCGACCCCCGACGTCGGAGACAGAGGACGGCAACTGCACACACACACACACACACACACACACACCAACGCCGACCCTGGCCGGGCTCAGTGCCTGGCCTGGGCGAAGGGCGGGGGCGCAGGTATGCGTCTGCCACCGTGCCTGCACGGCGTGGGCGCGCGCGCTGGGAGGCCGGGTGCTGTCTGGCGCAGGGCTGCTTCAAGCCTT